ATAAGCTTCACACGAAGACCGTATTGTAAGCGAAAATTCTATGTATACCCCAGCATCATACAAGAGAATAAAAGCGAAAACCAGTGTGAAAAACGGTCGCAGCATATAAGGCATTAACCTTTCCATTATGGGGTGTGCGATAGACTAACCTCCTTGTGGTGCACCCTGGGCAACGTATACTCATACAGCAAAAAAGTCTATTAACCGGTAGTTGACTTCAAACTACCATGACCCCACTGTATGACATATTCGACCACTTCCACAGTACTCACCTCACCTTTTTCTCTACATTTGTAGCTGTCTCTGAAACACTTTTCTGTTCCCCCCCCCCTCCTCTCGACTTTTTTTCACTTTGATGTTCCTTCCCCTCTGTGAAGCCCGAAGTCAACTAAAGGGATAATGATAACTATCAAAACGCCAGCCATTTGATATAAATAAATAAATAAATCCTTCCATTATTAGCACGGAACTACTAATATTAGGACTGCAGACTCCAAGCACTATTGGTCGTAAGAGAACTGTTGTGAGTGATTCCAAAGTCGTAATTGAACATAAGACCTCAGCATCGAGCGACTCTAAAACACCTACTATCCACTTAAGCCGCTTTAGAGCACAAAATAGGAAAAATTAGGTAAAAAACTAAACTTCCACGAATTTCGTAATGTTACAAATCTAAAAATTTCGAAAAGTAGGAAAGAAAACCTCCTAAAGCAAGCCACTTTAAGAAGGATCAGCATCCTACTGTACCACTTGCTGACTAGAATCGACCAGTGCCGTTAACCAACCACATCACTTGATGCACACTAATTAAGTCCGACATTTAAAATCAAGCGACATACCTGTTTAGCAACATATTCAGCATTGGCAAGCTTGATTGCAAGCTCGGCCTCCGCCTGTTCGTCCTCTTGGTAACCAGACACACCGGCTGCTCGTAGTATTGACACCGTGACCGAATCCAAGTTCTTCAATTTCGGCCCTTGCGCACTAGAGGATGCTTCTGAAGGTGCTTGCTGATCCTTGCTTGCAACTAGCATCGATCGCATTGTTTCTTCAAGAATATCCAACGAGCTCGTGCCATCCTTTTCTTGTGTAGTCGTAGGAGCTGTTTCTTCCTCTGATTTAGCTAAAAAAGCAAAAGAAGATAAATTTAATTTAGCCATCTCAGCTGCCATCATAGAAGTCAAATGCAATGAAGAGAAGCTTTTCCAGTAAGTGACTTGGTGGGGGGTATATTTTCAAGACACCGTAACAAATCTCGAATTCCGAAATCCTACCCTTTAATACCATTAGCCACAGCGATTCATCGACTACACAGAACTGACCGTGATTTGGTAAAGTACGATACCAGATAGTTCGTCGGCTATTTTAATTAAAACTTTCAGTATCAACCGTGTCGGGCTACATTTTACAAGAGAACAACTAATAATTCATTCAAGTAATGAAATTCCATGCGATCATCATGATCATGATGACAAACCAATGCCTATATCGTGAAACACTCGAATCCTACTACAACCACTGCTAACAAGAAGTAAAAATTGAAGAGTTGTACGTCAATGAAAATCAAACACTGTTGTTCCGATTTAGCATGAGCACTATCTGCTATGACAAAACTTTTTTCTAACTTTTAGCTCATAAGGTAAAGACTTCAGATATACAAGTAGAAACAATGATTCCGCGTTTGCATTACAAACGGTTTTTACCTTACGATTACTTAAAAAGAAGAGCCCATAAACATAAAGGAAAATCTTGTTCACTAGAAATATTTTTAAAAATGAAAATGCCGAAAAGTATACATAAATAAAATGAAAACACTCTGGTAACAAAATCATGGGGTAACCATACTAGTTGAGTAAAGATTAACTATACAATCTTACCATATTGATCCTGAAAGCGAGAATATATTTCTTGACTACATCTAATTGCATCTTTAGAGGGCTAAAATTCAAACGCACAACAATGGAAAACAAAGTTTCGAGGAAAACATTCGTTTATACATATATTAAAGCAAACGTACGATTGCGGATTCAAGTAAATCACTTATACTCTCAATGATTTCATTAGAATCCAAAGTTTCATCCTGTAGCATGCCATCAATATATTCCCCAAAAGTTTCTGCATCTATGTCACTTGACAGAGAATCGAGAAAAGTTTGAAGCCATATGGAAAATTGCATATCAATTTCCCCAATGGTTAGTAAATCTAAAAATAATTTTCCTTGGATTTATAAAACGAAAAAAATAATAAAATGATGGTCAAAATACATTAGCCTCAAAAAAGCGCACAACGACCAAACCTCGCTAAAGGGAACGCCTTCGGCACTCAATTTCGGGAGCACGTTTCTACTTTATACAAATATTGCCATAAAATAACTCATCAACTTCGTCGATAAATTAGTAATCCATTAATTTCACCATCAATATTGATATAATAATTAATTACACAATAATTAATGAAAATAAAAACAGTTACTATTCATTTATGAATGAGTACACTAATTTTGTATATTTGAATTCAAGATAGATAATATTCGTTATTGAATAATAATTTCCATTTAGCAATTATTTAATAAAGCTAATCAATCATTATTTTACGCTATTACCCTCGAAATAATAAAGATGTAGATAGGTTTTGCGGTGTTCATTAAAGGAATAATAAGGTAATAGAAAAATCTATAAATAGAATATACAGATTGCGTCATGTTCATGAAAATACAGACGGACCTTCAAACACGATAGATTCTTATTCCAGTCAGAGAATATTTGCTATAAAACCATTGCAGTAGTTCTCTTTTGAACCCATATATCATAAATAGTCCATTCTAATACAAAAAAACTGATCTCATCGAAAATAGCTGCTACTCATTTGAAAGTTAAACATTTACAAAGGATGATCTGATAATCTCAAGTATTTTTGCTCCAAGACTAAGAAAGCTTCCAAATGTTAATTTGCGGGTTAAACAACGCCTCCACGTCTTACTTATTGATATGACAAGTGAAGAGGACTTGCAATGCATTTTAATCATCGGATAACCTAATATAACTCCAAACAAATAAGTTCCTAGAAGTAATACGCTTATATTTGCATATTTTGATTGATATCTGTCCGTTTTTAAAAACAGATCAAGGTAAATATCAATGTTTTATTAATTAAAAAGTGAATCTAGTATTAAATGTTCCATTAGTGATTAGCTCGGTGAAAGTATATTATTATGTCAATTGAATATTTTTTGGCTATATGTCAAATTTATTCCTTATTTCAATTTTGAAGAATCGGGCTTTAAATTCATTGTTCTTTTAATGCAAAGAAAATATGTAATAAAATGTTTTTAGTGTAAGTTTGTAAGGTTGCAAAATTGCTCATTCTAGTAGATGAATTTTCAGCAAGATAACGCCAATAATTTTTTTCAATTTTAATTGTTACGTAACTAAATAAGACATCCGTAATATTGCAGTAAACAAAAGATAGTTGAAAACTAGAAGAGCATAAATTATCCTACCTTCACAGTAAATTTGTTTGAATTATTTGATTTCACAGAGTATCATTCTCTATCATTTTTTGAAGTAGATTTACGGATGGGTGATCAGTTGAATACGACTTACAGTTTGGATGAAGTAAGAATGAGCTTTCTGCAGTTTTATAAATTTTGTTTAGGATTCCAGGGTGTTTGATGATAAAGAACTTCCTGAGACCCCCGTGAAAATGGAGAGCGCTGGCATCAATAGAAGATCGTTACGCCCGGTTTGTAACCCAGTTGTCTATTTGTTTGCGATTTTAAGTATTTCATAGTTTTTAAATTTTGCAGAGGCCCACTCCCAAAATACCGAATTCAATCCTTGCATGTACTACTCAAGTAGGTTAAATATTTTATGTATGTACCTCTACCAAATCTAGTTATGTAAATCTCCAGTACGATCTTCAAATACGCGTAAACGGCGAAACGTATGTTGTACCATTAAAGTCTTTCTTTCAGTTTGTTATGTTGTCTATTGTTTTGCCTTCTAGAATAGTCTTATTTCACATTCTGAAAATTTTATTACTAAATCATGTAAGGTTTATATTTTCCCCAAATTATAATGCTTCATTATAATAAAATCGTTCCCAAAACGATAGCTTCTGTGTTCCGATTCCGTAAAAGACAGGAGAAGGTTGGAAACAATGCCAGTAAATATTTGTTTAGAAATTAATGCCTAGCGGAAATATTACACCATCTAAACCATCCACTTTAAGTAATAACGTGAATTCTAAAATTCAGGAAGTGTCACGAGGGGATTGGTCGACTTAATAATTTTCTAATTTTTCAGAAAGCCGCTACTACGAACGCACCGAAGAATTCTGTTACACGAAACATTCCTATGATTACAGTAGGTTTATGTGAATTCCAATTCTAACTTAATCTGCAGACTCCGTGGACTGGTATGACACCGCAAATGGTAAAACAGAGGGGTGGATCTCGGACCGCCAAAAAGTCTGACATTCAAGTTCCTGAAAGCACCAAAACCCGTGCATCATCCGCTCTTTCAAAGATAAATGTAAATCTACCAGAGAAGTTCTTTATTTGTTTGTGTTTGAGCATCATATCTTTTTTTCATTTAGGAATATGTCCCAAGAACGCCAACTAAGATTGAAGTGATGTCTCCTAGGCAGTGGGCATTGAAAACTTCATTAAGGGTATGCTTTTGGCATTATCACTTTTCTTAATGCGACCATCTCTTTCTAGAATTCGGCAGTTCGAACCCATTCAGTAAGTTTTCAATGCAATTTTTTTCTTTTAATTTATCAACTAACCTAACTTTATTTAGTACGGAAGCTTGCCGCCGAAAAATATGTTTGTTCCCATTAAGCCTGTTCCTAAACTCGATTTTGACGACGATGACAACGTAAATCCAACGTCAATAATGGTATGCCATTCTTTGTTTGAAT